CTTTGAAACGGAGATGAGCACCGCCCCTAGNAGTATCCTTCTCCTGGAGTTGGGAGGGAATGGAGAGTTTACAGTATCCTTTCCTGCCACACCCACCAAGCCACACCGATCAAGCCGGGCCCACAGAACCTGGTTGTATTTTTTTTAATCTCATCACTGTACCAAACCCAGCATAATCATCAAAATATAAATTGCAACAGCAGGAAGGCCACAATTCAAAGGAGGAGAGATTCAAGAATCAAGCAGAAATATTCGGCCAAAAAATCCACAAGTCAGATGTCATTTATTTACTTATTTTTCTCCCCAAATGAGTCTTCCATTTTACGGCGGAAATCCTTGTTACATGAGAACCTTATTTCCAGCTTGTGGAATTTCCAACGTTCCTTCCTTTCATTAATTGCCATTGCATGCATCATTCATTCACTATAAACACTAGACTCAATTTTATTGCGTTGTTTTGATTGAATAGTAGCAAAGCATTGCCATCTACTTAATTCTACTTTTCTTGCCAAATTCAGACGTGGGGCTAAGATACTTCCTTCAAATGAGAAGGAGTAGCAGAAAGTTTCTAGTATGCTTCTAAACAAATCTGAATACATTTTCAGAGTTGCTATACCTTAAGATGCAGCAGCAAAAGTCTTACAATTGGTCCCGCATTGTTCGCTATGGATTAATATCACTAGTTTATCAATATGATAAGACACAAAGCCTTTCCTTCTGCCCTTGCATTGTGTAATGAAGTTTAAATGGTTTGTCTAGTCCACTTTCAAAATGCAAGTATGCCCTAAAGAGAATGATAGGTTTTTAACCTATAAGGATTTCAGCACAAACACATCAGAAAGGGAATTTTGTGAATCAGTTCATGAACAGACAAGCCTGTGTTTACACACTTTTATGCATAAAATATGGTATAAAGCCACAGTTATGCTCAAAATAAACAATGAGGCTTACGTGTAAACATTTCTGTATGTTTTTTTCATTCATTTGTATCTGACTGTATGTCTGCGTAGAAGTGGCTGAAAGGTTGTGATAACTTGCCTGAGGGGGCATCACTGAATCACTTTTTAGATGTGTTGGTTTGTTGCTGAACAAATTGGATTAAAATTTTATTTTGTATATATACACAGAGACATCCACACAATACTTTCCATTCTTATTTTTAGATGCTGCATTATTCCTTTTTAAAAAAATAAAATAAAATGTTTCTTGTCATTTGGCCACTACCCGGGGGAGGGCCTTCTCTGTGGCGGCTCCGGCCCTTTGGAATGAACTCCCCGCAGAGATTCGGACCCTCACC